TTCATACACTTTAGCCGAACGCGGTTTATTGATATAACATGTTAAATTTTTGACCCCTTTTGACTTTTTTGCTACCTTTCCCGTGAAACTGCCCAATTTTCAATTGAAAAAGGACAGTTTTGTGTGACGGCAAAATAGGAAATGTCTTAACTTGGATATGGGTGTAACATATATACCCTCTTTAAGAACTGTAAGATTTATATAAACCTTACAGTTCTGGAAGTAGTGTACATGTAAGTGGTAAATGAAGACAACGTCCAACCTGAGGCTGAGCTAAAGACTACCTACACAAAATGCATTAATTGGAAGAAAAACCAAACCAATAAATCATGGCAACTTTTGTTTATTTTCAAGGTGTTACCTTACTAGTGCCTTGGTTAAACAGCTAGCCTAGGCCTACCGTATTACGCTACATTTCCGTGATGTGAAATGTTAACAGTCTAATATTTAGGGTGCCCTCCTTTATTTCTGGTTACTTAGACTGGCTCTTTTTACCCATACTGCCTTACGGACAAAACGCCATACAAGACCTACCTTAGCAAAAAATGTCATTCAAATGGGTATATAAATATAGCACTACATTGATGTTATGCACCACTGTGAAAACAGGGTGTTGGTAAAAGTCAGAGGTAGCCATATTATTTCTTCATTAACAATAACGATTATAAAATATCCTCATTTGTATACCGTAGCGTTTCAGAACGGAGGTATAATCAACTGCGCCTGCAACTGTATTCACGTGATTTTACTCTAAAAATTATGGAAATATCACAAAGAATTTCTGTAATTAATGCCAATGCATTAGGTTCATGTTATTTTGTTTCCTTATTTACCCACCATGACAACCGTAAATCATCCTTAATTGAACGACACGCCAGGCCGGAGTTAGCAATAAACCATCTCTGCACTCAATTTCTGCACATGTGCATGTATGGGTCAACCCGGAGGTTGAGTAAAAGTAGTTCAAACATACGGTACTTGAAAAATTATCCAAAAATTACAGAATGTGTGAAATGAATGCCACAAGTGATTTTCTCTTTATTTATTGAGGGCATAGCACGTCAGGTGGGAGGTAATGCATGTCGTGTAATGTAAAAACTTTGATAGGGTACATGTACATGTAACTCAATTTCTGGCATGTATGGGACAACCCGGAAGTTGATTTAAAGTACATGAAATTCAAACTACTGTAACTTGAAAAATAATAAAAAATGACAACATTTAGGATTAATGCTTATAGGAGAAATTGCTATTTTATTTCTTCATTAAATTTTAGGGCAATTGCTTTGTGTGTATGTATGTCCTGTGCATGGTGGCACTAAAAAGGTATAAAAATAACCGTGTATCGGGGCAGGCTGGCAGGGGGTCACAGGGTCATTGCAACAGGTAACTTTTGAGTTGTACCAGTACATTGTAAAATGTTACACTTTTTGGGTAGGTACACGTACATGTAGATGAAAAGGAGAGGCAGTAAAGGACATGATAAAGGAGATTGGGGTACAGATGTAAAGTGGTAACTGGGGATCAATAAAGATGAGAGACTCAGGAAGTACATGTACCGGTTTTAAAAAGCTGCACGTGTGATATTAACCTCATTTATTTCTTTCATTGGAACTCTTGCTCACAACAGAGTGAAGTTTGTTAGCTCATAGCTATAAAACTGAACGTGAAGCTTGCTATGGAGCTCCTTGTCAATCAGTGTTGATCATTTGACGATTGCAAAAGATAATGTATGATAAGGAATCTAATGTTCACAATTCAAGATACACTCTTGGAAAATTTTTAACTGAATGCATCCTAATTTTTCTGTGAAGAGAAATAAGCAAACTTTATACTTGATAAGTGTAATTATAAAGTGATTTCATTTTACAAATACATGTAAGTCGTAATGTCAAAGTACACTGTTGAATTATTTGTATTTGTGACAGAAGCAATTAATTAGTAGATACACTGTACATGATACCGGGGGGTGATTAGGGAATCAGCCTGTGAGATAACAGAAGCATCTTTGGAGGATCGTCCAGTATGTTAACATCTGTTTACATGAAAATTAAATCGCCTGTCCTTTTAAATTTCACATCAACATTTTAACAATTAGTTCTTAGATACTGTAACTTCTTCATATTGAGCTTGAAAACAGAATTCAGTCAATTCAGATGCATCCCACTGAATTTGCTTTAAATCCTTCCGACATCAACAACATCAAATCTGGGCATTTGCGTCGCAGACGAGGGCAAGGTGATTGCTGCCTCCTTTTTCCTTAAAAAAGGGCATTTTCCCAGAGAAAGTGCTTGTGATGCCCATTAATGTACATGCAGAAATTCCTACTACTGGACCGTGAGGTTTCGAAGGCCAAGTCTCACAGCTTTTCTTTGAGACTGCATTGCAGACACATCCAGTGACTGGCATCCAGCAGCTGACTACATATTCCAACCTTTGAAACACACTCAATATGGAGCCAATCGAGACATCCCTCGCAGAACAACATCTTTTGGGATTCTCGTGCTTTGTTACAATCATCAGTGATGTAACAAGTGGACCATGTTGCCTCTATCAAACTATTTCTGGTATTCACCAAGTAGGTCATTGTGTCGCCACCATTTGGGGGTTGGCGAGATATACATGTATGTACGCCAGTAGTATGTAGTAACAACCGCCTCTTCTACAAACTCTGCAAATCTGTTCGAATTAAACTTTTAGTGATCCAGTTCTGCACTCTTTGCATTTAGGCTTGTGAATACTTCTGGTAAATGCCACCAACTATCGCATGCGCTGTGACACGTACAAAGACACCACAATCGTTTCCATTTTTCTGGCAGGGTTCATCATTCGGCACAAAAACCTGCCAATCTGACATGGGAAAGGATTTTGAATATGTTACAGTAAGAAGAGTGTTGTACATGTACATGTCTATGAATGAGGCTGCAGATTGCATGTTTTCTCCATGCTCAAGGATTTTACATTTCCAACTGTCTTATTACGACCAACAGTATCCAGTGGTTACTGTGGACTATCACAGGCCAAAGCCAGACATCAGACATCATAGTTTTGTACTGTAGATAGAACAAGATCAATACAATATTGTCTAGACTGACTTCCTTGCATTCTAGTACACATTTCATTACTGCATTACAGCTCTAGCATTGGTTTGTTGTCATGCCAGAATCGTCTGTGTACACCCCCAGCCGTTCTAGCACCCACTTGCCGGCAGATGACAATATTGCAGGTTCAATCTCAAGGTCAAAGTAATCAATAAATGCCTGACTCCACTCTACCTTCAGTGTATGACGAACCTGAAAGTATTTTTCTTTGGGGTTAGAAGAAGTTGCTTGACATGATGTCTGTAGGCCTGGCAGTCTCCTGCCTTCCCTCCATGTTTACTGATCCAGAATTTGACATCAGAGAGGATGTGGTTCCAGCAGCACATGCTATTCGCACAGGGTCATTCGCATTCCAAGGCATTGACAATATTTTCGCGATTAGTTACAATGACGTGCTCACCTTTGCGTAACTGAGGGCATTGGGTCTTGACAACCTCAAAGAAATTGCTGTGATTTGCTTCCAATTTTTTCATGTATCAAGATAGTAACTAGAGTCAGTGGTTTACTGGCAAAAGAGCCATGTTTCGTAGGAAGGGCAGAAACATAAAAGTCATCCAAGTTGAATGTGGCATCATACGGTATGAGACTACAAGAGTGTCCTCACATGTGCTTAATCTATTAAGTTCATTGAGAAGTTCTTGCAAACCGATGCAAAGAACCAATTCAGGAAGCATCTGAAATTGGTGTATGAAATCACCAAGTTAAGTTTGTACATGTTGTATATTTCATCATGAGACAGCCGGCCCTTTGATTTCTCAAATTTCACTTTGTTCCTCACCTGTGCAGTATCCTTTGGGTGCAGCACTGGCATGCAAAAGAGGGCACATTTGTGGATGTTGAATCCCTGTACATCTTGTGAGGATTCTGTGGACCTGCTTTCTTGGCCACATGTAGATCTTTCAGCACAGGGGGACATGTTCTCACATGCGGACGGGTGGGCTTTTTCTTAGAATTACCATGAGGAGGGATAGATTCCTTCGAAACTGCTGTTTCATTACCAAGATATTGTATCAAGACTAATGTGCTTGGACCATGCACTATCTGATATGCATGCCTAGCAACGGTGTCTGGACCGCCAGAAGAGTACATAAAGGCCTACATGTACGTGACTTTTGTATCATTGTTGAAAATGATCAGAAAACATAACAAATTGGAGTGTTGCACTTTAATTGACTCTATTTAAACCAGTAATTGCTTTATTTGTGTGGAAGACTTTAGTTATAAACTATGGAAAAAACTGTAATTCTGCTGTGAGCTTTGTCCAACCATAAATAACCTAAAATATGGTACCGTACGTGTACATGTACATGTACCTCCCCAAGAAGATGTACAACTTGTGGCCCTTAGGAAGTGCAGAACCTTCAAATTGGTATCTTTACTAAGCATTCTGATTCCTGTGGTCTTTTTGGGTTGAGTCTTGACTTGGTTGCCAACCATTTGGTCTTCAGACCTCTGTTACAACCAGTGGTCTTTATTGATTAGCCTTTTTTTATAGTTTGACAGATGTTTATTTAATGTTGTTCATACCGTGGTTATCGAGTAGAAGATGAATTAAGTATTACAATAGTTTGCCTTGGAATGTACATTGTCAAGCAGAAAGATAAAGCACAACATTTAAGTAAAGGGTGAAGCATAAAATTGCCTTTGTACCCTAACCTATTGACAGACATACATGTACATATTATAACATACGACAATACAAGACTTGAAAATGTTTTTGCAATGATACCATACACACACGGACAAACACTGACAGGCAGGACATAATGCAATGCATCAAAATCCAATTTAGTCGGTACAGGTGATGTATTCAGAAAGAATTAGATTACGAAATCTTGGTAAATGATTTTTTTTTTAGTAAATAATTGAACCCACTGTAATTTGGCATTTTCTACATAGACAGCTGTTAACAAGTTAACATCCGGTCTGTTCCTACTTATTCATCTCTTTGCCATCAACCATTCAAGACGACATCACTAATTGATAAAGAGAAGAGTTACAATGTGTGCATCCAAGAATTGGTAAGTTTATTTCCATTCCTGAGCAGTTTAGGATTTTCATTACAGCTCATCAATGAAAAGTATTTTAGTTTCATTAATGAATCCTAAAAGTTTATTTTCCCTTTGTCTCAGTCACAAAAATAAGAGGGAAAAGTTTAATTTATTATATCTTTGGTCAGTTGCACAAATTTTCCTTTGTTTCCCACTCATCAAACTTGTCTTTCTCATCTTGAGAAATGTGTGGAAAACAGTTCAAATTACCTCAGAAGAATGTTCTTTTTTGGCTTGTGCATCTCAACCTTCCCTGCAGAATCATGCTTCTGATGTGTTAAACTGTGCTTTGTAGCACAGCTGATTTAAATTATGTTGGTTTAAATCACTGATTTTAATCACAGTTTCAATGCAATGACTTACTTGAACAATAATTACTGATTTAAGGCACTCTTTTATAAATAGTGGTATCTCCTTTTCCAGAACAATTAAACTAATCGACTCAAAGTACAACATGATACGACACATTCAGATATCCTTTCATTTCATCAGCGCTTGACTGAACAGAACTTTGGATTTGAAGAAAGATGTTTAATATTGTCTCAGTAAATGTGTGAGGGTCATTTGAGTATCTGTCAAGCCAAGTGTCTTTTGGAGAGACTGTGTATGAAGAGTGAACTGTTTACATTCAAGCATGCAGTGCTACTGAAAATCTTCAGTTGCACCGCATGAATCACAGATGCTGTTATCAGGGTATTTGTTATGGAGGAATTTTGAGTCCTTTGCAGGTACATGTAGGTGTAGATTCAAGGCGTGTGGTAAATTGGCCTGGTGTGAATTAGCTCTTGAGCTGGCGCCCTGAATCGGACGCTGGGTGACGAGCGAATGGTATGACCATTATTGTTAAAAATCTCAGAAAATTCCACAACAAATCTTAGAAGTACAATAAAAATTGATCACTTCTAGTATTTCAATATTGACTCCACTCACTTACGTAACTAAAACTTGTTAAACATATTTTGGGGCACATTTAAAAGAGTTCATTTTGCACTTCTGAAAGAAAAATCTGGCCCAAACTTTGTAGCGGGTATATGAAATCGACATTTATGAATGAGAATATTTGGAGTTTGATTAAATTTCTCCTTTTGTGAGATTGCAGGTAAAGTACTACTCCATACACAAACGTTACAAGGGAAAATTTGAAGTGCCCAGTGTTTCTGCTTGCGCCACTTTAGGGTATGCAATCTTCAAGCGTAACCCGTGGTAACCGTGAAGCAGCGTGCGAACAAGTGTTACCATTAAACCTATACTTTCTCAAGTCCTTGAAATTATCAGTTTTGGTGGGTTGGATTAGGGTCCTTGCTGGGAGGGCCATGCAGCAGTTGTTTCGCACTCTTCTTATTGTGTTCAGTTTTTTCTTACCCTAAGCAGGCCTATACCCGTACGTTGTACAAGTACATGTACATGCAATGTAGTCCTTTTCCTTGTATATTAGTTTAGTAAAGTGTACGTGTCTATATGCCTGTTAAATTTCCTTGTAGCATATGCTGTAACCCAGTGTAAAATAATCCAAACAGTATTATGTGTGACTGCGGTAATCTCTGGACACACTTTAAATGTACTGGCCTTAATCTTATTGATTTCTCCAATTTAGCAAATGATGATGGGAACTGGTATTGTGCTCAGTGTTTGGCTTCCATTTCTCCTTTTAATTCTCTTGAGTCTCAAGAATATTAATCAGTAATTTCTGACATGAAGTCTAACTACATGTACATGTGCCTCCCTCTGAGAATCTCATCTCTATTGAGACACATGTACTAAGAATGAAAATGAGGAAAACTTTGATACTACAAATTCACACTACTATTCACAAAATCAAGATTCAACTGACAACTTTTCACTCTTGCATCTGAACATTAAAAGTTTCACTACAAGTTTTGACCAATTCCAATATTTCCTTTATTCATTAAATCACAATCTTTCTGTCATAGGCCTGACTGAGACACGGTTCAATTCAATTTTTTGTCTGGATCAAATTTAACTTACATGTACCTGGCTATACCCTAGTAGTAAACTAAAAACAGAGAGGGAGGAATCGGTGGTGGAGTTGCTCTCCACGTCAACTGATCTTCAATAAATCTCTAGGCCTGAGCGAAGTAATTTACATGTATGTACATGTACATTAACAGCTCTTTTGAATGTATATTTGTTGAGATCCTCACATCTCACAATATAAGGAATGTTGTCATTGGAGTAGCCTATGAAGCCCCAGATGCCAAGGTTGAGGACTTCTTATCCAAACGTACATGTAGTTGTTAAACATTGTTCGGCCATCTAAGCAGTGAAAATAAATATTGATTTGTTTTGGGTGACTTTAACTTATATTTGCTTAAGTCAGATAACAGTAGACAATCAGTAGACAAGTATTTTTTTATATGACTTACATGTACATGTATAATACTTCCTCAAGTTTGCCATGAATTCATATGCCAACTACATGTAGGTTGACATCATCATCAGCTACCTTAATTGAAAATATATTCACTAATATACTTCCCTTAGCGAAATCTGGAATAATCGTTACTGACTTATCTGATCACTTTCTGATATTCACCTCGCACCCACTCAAAGTAAACCGTATTACATGTAATTTTGAAAACAGTCCAGCCCAAGACTTTACATCCGAAAATGTAGAGAATTTTAAAGATCATCTTTCTTCTTGTGACTGGAGGCCTGTCTTAAATGCTGAGGATGCCATTTTATCATTTATTCATTTTTATAGATATTTTAAATAACTGCCTTGACAAACATGTCCCATTTAAGAAAGAGAATAATAAGTCTAAGATATTAACACCTAAATATCCTTTGATTACTGTTACATGTAGTTACCAAAGTCTTATCCCTGTGAAAAATGAGCTTTATGGTAAATATATTGCTTGTCCTACTGACTCTAATCAAGCTCAGAGTGTGCATTACAAAAATGAGCTTTATGGTAATGTGACACGGGGGAAAGTCAAGGCCATTGACGCATGGTCTGGTTTCTTTCCAAATCTTTAATGGTGCAGAAAGCTAAAACCAAAACAAGAAAAAAACCCAATCAAACTTGGATAGAATACAAAA